ATATATATATATATATATATATATATATATATATATATATATATATATATATATATATATATATGAAACCATATTTTAAACTATTACTACTGTGATGTGTGCATCGATCGTGTCTCCTCCGTTGCACTGAAAGATATTAAGTTATATGAAATAGAGGAGAAATAAGGATTGAAAAGTTAGGCCAGGTTATTAGATCTAATACAAACAGTCTAAACTTTAGAGCTGACCACGCATGATCCATGTCCAGTACAGATCATTTGGACGGACAACAGAGCATGCATTTGGACTACTAACAAAATGCGAGAAAAATATCCAATTTTTTAATTTCTTTGCAAGGAAAATGAAAATTAAATATCACAAGATAAGAAATCCTAAAATTTGGCTTCCATTGCTCAGGTCATTAGTAAAAGCCACGTCTACACCTCTTCCTTATTCTCTCATTTTTACCAATAGATGGAACTCAAGACGATCACTTAGGCACAGCAAAGAGGACGAAAGATCACATACCAGACTAAGAGGGTAGAATCTAAGAATAAAATATATCGTTGGCTCCCATATTTAGTAGCATTAAAGTGTATTTAACCAATATCTTCGTGTTCTTATTCATCGGAACTCTCTGATGATTCATGCTCCTGACCAACCACAGCAGCAGGTTCCTGCATAAGGGAAGGAAAGATGTCCAGTAAGCATTTGAAAGAATGTTAATGAAGGATTATTTAACAATTAAGGGAGAAAACAGCTTAAAGGGAAAAGAAAAACGGAGAGCATAAGTTATCGGTTCGTGTTCATACTGCCATTTTGTCCCAGTCCTTCAACTTCGAACTTGTAAGCATGTAACTGTCACGTAATGGAGCCCACCCGGTCACGTTGCTTTTTTCTTCCTTCCTAGAATTAGAGACCTGCATAAACCACGAAGTTAATGTTCTACACAGGACAAAATAACTTATCAGGAAAGAGAAATGGAGAGTCTAGGAAGTTACAAGTAACCAATGGTTATAAGCATGACTCTTCAACCCAAGAGAGATCAAAACCCAAAGAAGGATCAAAAGAAGCATGTTTATTTGCTCTCAGAATCATCAAACTCTTTTCAGTAAAGCAAACCTATAATAGAGGTACCAATTTCCCAAAAGCACCAGAGCTAGTTGGATTAACAGTCTTCTAAGTGAAGCTTATATATGAAGCACCGGCTTATGGTCACATTAGCAGTCCTTAAAGTCAAGTTTACAAATGAAGAACTGAGTAATAGTTGGGTCAGCAGTCATTAAGGTGAAGCTTACAAATGAAGCACTAACTATATCAGACCTTACACTTGTAACCAAACAAGACATTGCAGTTCTTCAATTTCCATAAAGTCTATGTTTATCTAAATCAGAAAAAAATTTGCTACCAATTTCAGTAAAAATAGGACCATGAGAACCTATGCATGTCACTTTCAAAAAAGGAAACTAAGAAAAACTATGAATTTTCGTAAAACTTCCAATTTCATGATCAACTGTGTCAGTAAACATTATATAGATAACTTAAACAAGCAATACAAATAGCTACCAAATTATGCAGTGTTAAAAAATGCCTACTTCAAATAGCAGCTTTTTGAAAAAGACAATGAGCGTGCAGGGAGATTGGGTTCAACCAAAACTAAGAAAAATTAAACCTAAATGTACTTAAGAAAGCCATTACGTTTTATGGATATCTACATAACCGAGTTATAATGAATAAACATGTATTAGTAAAATGGCATTCTAAGAATGGAAACTCATGTCTCTGAACCCCTCATTAAGATTATACATCCTGGATAAAAATCAGAAATTGGCAGATTTTTCATTAAATCGGACTTACACAATTCAACTGACCCAAATACGTTTCTTTTTTATGATCACCAAATCCATCCTGGCAAAAGAGATGTTATTTACCTTTTTACATGTTAACTAGCACAAATATCACAGGCTGACCAGGTCTTCAACTTAAAAGAATGCATGGTTTCTGAGGCATGAAACACTAAAAAAATAAATAATTTTTTTGAATTCAAGAGGAAAGGATATAAAGTCCTTGGCAAATCTGAGGCTATTACATTGATGCAAGATAAGCAAAAAACAGGATCTATTCTAACCGAAGTTTCATGATGGTGGCAAAGATTAACCATATAACTAACAAAATAGAAAAAAGAAAATTAGGCATTACTACAGTGATCACATGCACAAACAAAAAGTTAGAACAGCTGCATTTTAGTTAACTAACCAAGGGAAAAGAAAATGAACAAGCATTAGCATGTGCATGGCATGCATAAACTATATCATACAAGAATTGCATGACCAACAGTTATCACATACCTGTGTATTTGTCTTCTGCAGCTCTGAAAAGAAGGCTTGTTTCCTTCGTTTTGCCAACACTGTTGCAATCACAAGATACGGTGGTCATTATAGTCCAGAAGCCACAATATGAAAAATACCATAACAGTATCAATGCCTGAAAAACTTAAGTGGCTTGCTGATTATCACTGAAAAAAAAGCAATTCACAAATAACTGTTATGGAAATTACTTAGTCTACTGAATACATAAACCAGTATGAAGTCCAGAAATTTCTCAAAGCAATGACAATGTCATAAGTATTTGTGACTCAAAATGGTCATTTTGCATCTAACAAATTAAATAAATCATGTACTGCTGTTTTAAGTTCAATACCATCAAAATTTCCTTGCATGTACATTTACCAAGCATAATGTCAAGCTGATGCTTCCTAGAAAAATCAGCTAATACCATTATGTAAACATACTGGACCAAAGAATTTACCTATTATACACTTGAGATAAAATTGAACAGTTTTTTGACTGGTCCTGATCAGTCAAGAGGAAAAGCAAGCAACTACAATTATCAAATTAGTTAAACAGAAAGTTACGAAGTAGGCTATAAAAGACAAAGAATACAAAAATTGAACAAGCGATAGATACGATCAGTATTTCATAAATTATAGAACATATAACAAAGCATCAGACTAAAACAATAAACAAGAGACTTGTCGATATAGTCGAGTAACAAAGACTACAATATTCATTTAAGACAGGGTTTAATGAACCAAATTATGAAGAGACAAAAAGAATTGCAGGTTAAACCGGTCAGAAGAATTATGAAAAGAAACTATCAGACCAGTCGCCTCAGCTAAATGATCATTAACCTCAGTCTCCACATTATAGGTATAATCCTGTTTCCATACTTGATGGCAATGCCACTAAACCACCCTTTCAAGAATACTTGACCACAGTTGCTATGTAACTCATTGACATCTATAACCAGACCCCTAAAAAACAAAGCTAATATCTACATACTTTCAACTGCACTGCATCAGTCTTAGGCAATGATTACATGCAACAAAATGATGATTAAAAAAAAAAAAGTTAAATACTTCATTTTAAATTACATTGTTACATTCCTTCTTTAGTAGTCTAGAGAAATGGGCTTGTTCATCTATCATATTGCATTGAAAGTGTAAATACCATCACCCAATTATTACCCTGTTATGCAGGGTCCCATTTCTAGAAAGTGCAAGGGTGAAGAAGCTAGGTGCTGGCTGTCATGCCAGTGGCAATTGATCACACCAGTTATTCACATGTAAACAAGAAAAATCGGCATGAGAGATGTGGCATGGTTAGATCTTACATGGAGATAGTATACTCCAATTTAATCAATAATTTCCTAAATGTCACTCTAGCATCTCCTTGTTTGCAGATATATTACCAGCTTCAACAAATTGATGCATTGTAAGACCAATCCAATTAAAGAAGAAAGAAAAATGACAGATCAAAAGCATTGTCTTAGATGTTTAAGACCTACAAATTTCATGAATCTTCTAAACATGATGAGCCAAGCATCACTAGTGTTAGCTGCTATAAGCCTAACAGTCCAATTGTGATTCATAACCCAAAGGTCAGCATGATAAAAGTGTCTCCACCTTTTGATTCTATTACTAAATATAATGACGTACTTTTGCATTTTCTAGAGGGGAAAAAGATAAAAACTTTAATTGTCAAGCATAGGATCAAAAAGCTTCAAGCAGCTAAGCACATCATATTTTACAAGAAAACAAAATAGCAACTAGTCATAGTTTCTATTACATATATTTCATCTTAAAAGGTGGATCCTAGAGACCCCAATCTTCTTCCAAATTTTGTTAGTTTTTTTTTTTTGCAGCATATCTTCTTCCAAAATTTGCCAAAATTTTGGCAATATCCTTGTAGATTAATATCACACCTTTTCTTGCAAGAATATCTGGTTTTTTGGTTAAATCATTGTCCGAGATAAATTAATGCTTTATGAATATTACTGTCACTGTGTTAAACAAGAAAGATGAGAGATGTTTATTCAATTTATTTATACTTTCTTTTGTTATGTTTTACAAAACAGATAAATGCCCAGTTAACAAGGCAGATATATAATATTTGAACTGAATAGTTTTAATTGTGAGCAGAACATTCAACTCCATCTTTCAAGATTTCTGTTTGTCTTTAGCATCCATTATTGTGACCTTACATCACTGAATAAAGAAAGTCAGGATATTTTACATGCAGTTATCATTCAAAAAGATAGTACTCCTTTTAGAATTGGTAATTTGGAACTCATCGAAGAAAATAGTAATAGAAATTATATGTCAACTAAAGAAATAGGGAAACTAAATAAAAAGTTGGTTGCAAAACCAGTTGCTTCCTTGTAACAAGGCAGTCTGTAGCTATTGCTAGAAGTTATCTTTTACAGCAAAGTGGCCATATTGATGCAGCCCCATGCACTTAAAGTTTCTCCAATATCAACAGGTGTTGTGCTTGAAGGTACTTAATGGTGTACATGTAACATAACAACCATCAGAAAGAAACAATGAAACAGGCACTTACATGGAGCCTGTATAATTAAAAAATAAATGTCACTCATTAACAGCCATTTAATTGGACTGTAGCATGTCCTGCTCATGATTGCTAAGACATCAATTTAATTAATTGATATCAACCATCATGGTGCTAAAAATGTGAGGATTTTTAGATTGTAGCACTTAAAAAGTTTTTTACCCACTCCCACGCCCCACCCCCACAAAAAAAACAAAAAACACAAAAGCAGGACAAACAAATTTCAACCTACTTCTGCATCCTGATATAGAAGAAGCAGAGACCAGAAAGCATACAGTTCTGTATGTGTCATTAGAAACTACCTTATAAGCCACACCAATCTTCTAACTTCAGTGAACGACTTCATGTTATTATTTGGCAATTTAATATACAACTGCAACTGCAAAATATTTATTGCATTATAAACTTCTATTTTTAACAAAATCCATTAAAAATTTAAGCAAGAATTAAAGTTACTATATCACTGATTTTTATTCAAGTAGCATGCTATTGTATATATTTTGGTGTAAAATTTAGCATTTGCTACAAAGAAAGCAAAAATGAATGAGAAATGAAGATATCTTATAAATCAACTTCAGTTCTTGACTAAGAAATAAATTATCTTCTCTAAGTATTCTTTACTATGGATGTATAATTATTCTAATAAGGCACGGTACATTCAACTAATGCAACTGAAAACAAAACAAAGGAAGCTTAAGCTCTAAGCTAACAGCTTCGAAGCTGGGTAAATATCAAACTCAGCAACCTTGTCTGAACACAACCAAATATGATACCTACAAAGTGGATAAAAGAAAAGAAACAAGTAACAATTTTAGATTCCACACCCTTTGTATCTTTAGATTTTGAAGGATTCAAGCCAATTTGAGCGTTTTGTGCCTTGCTGACCTGCACCAAGGATTTAAATGTTAACAGAAAAAAGTAATAGTTCAGCTCAAGAAACATAACCTGCAACACAAAACAAAAAGGCAAGTTCATTCGCTTACCGCATTGAATAGCTTCACAACTGAAACGGATCCAGAATCAAGCATGCAAGATGAGGAATTTAGTTAAGAATAAAAGAGTAACTAAAAGAACAACACAAGGCACTATCCGGGCATAATAGATACACTACCTCCTTTTGTTGCAACGCCAATAAGAAACTTCTCCTTTGCATCCAAGAAATTAGCAGGCTTTATATGCCCATTCTCTGCTGCCTATATTACATACATCAAATGAAAATTTCAACCAACATGAAAACTCTAATACAAATACCTAAATTACCAATTCCTAGTTAAGGTAGAGCGAAGAGGACAAACAACAGAGTGAAAAGAAGCTAGCTAACTAATAGTACCCACCAGCTGCTTCTCCTTCTTCGTCTCCCCCTTCTTCTTATGCTCTGCATCGTCTTCTGCAAGCTTCTCCGCTACGAGTTTCTTGTGTGCAGATAGTATTGGCCCCTAAGAACACGATCACCAAAAAATCAAGAAAAGACAAATCACCTTTTGTAGAACCCATTCAAATTCCTCGAAAAGAAGGCTCACAAGGGGATCGTCCGGGAGATGTTTCTTCATAATCTTCATAAAGGCAACCCTGAAAGCCCTGCAACCCCCCACGAACCTGGTAATCCCGTGCTGAGCTCCCCGCTCGTCCTCCTCATCATCACACTCTGAGCCTCCGCTCCCATCATCTCTAACATCGAAATCCTCCTCGTCGCCGCTGGACGGCTCCTCTTCGCGCTCTACGTCACCATCGTCCTCCTCGTCGGAGTGGTACTCCCTGGCCCTCTTCCGGAAGAGCTTCTTCATCTTCTTACTAGGTTGCCGGGGCTTGGCCGTGGCCATGGGCGACGCCTTCTGCTTGACCCTCTTGCTCGGGTTCTTGCTCTTCTTGTGCTTCGGCTTCCGCTTTCTGGGGGCCGGAGCGGCGGCGGCCTCGAGGGGTTGGAGCTCTGCCGCCATGCCCGACGAGGTCTGCCGACCCAAAGAAGGCGGCGAAAGATGGTATGGTAGGATTGATCGGGTCGAAGAGGCACGGATCCGTTAAAGTAAGCATGTCCGGTCGTCTTAGGCTCCATCGATTCATAGACTAACGGGCCCAAATTACATCTATTTACGGAGCCCATATACTGTTGATCGCAGTTACCTGCGGCAACGAGTTGAGATTTGATCAAATATGGTTCGGGTAATCTTGAACCCGACCCGATTCATGGGTCCGCCGAGACTTCGTTCAACCATCCATCACCATCCAATGGCTCGCTTCATGAATCAACGGCCACAATCTTAACCTATCGAAACCCTAGTTCTCCCTTTCAAGTATAAAGAAACTATGGTTTCTCGTCTCCTTGACCATTCGTCTTCACGTATTCTCGAGTGAGGCGGCCAGCGAGAGGAGCGCGATCTGTTCAAATCGCCAGCGGAGATGAAGACGATCCTCTCCTCGCAGACGATGGACATCCCCGAGGGAGTCACGGTGAAGGTGAATGCCAAGATCGTCGAGGTGGAGGGCCCGCGCGGGAAGCTCACCCGTGACTTCAAGCACCTCAACCTCGACTTCGAGCTCATCGAGGGCGGGAAGAAGCTGAAGGTGGACGCTTGGTTCGGCTCGCGGAAAACCACCGCCGCCATCCGCACCTCCATCAGCCACGTCCAGAACCTGATCAGCGGCGTCACCAAGGGGTACCGCTACAAGATGCGTTTAGTCTACGCCCACTTTCCCATCAATGCCTCCATCACCAACAGCAACACCTGCATCGAGATCAGGAACTTCCTCGGCGAGAAAAAGGTTCGATCTTGTTTGGTCTTACCTTGTCTGTTTCGATCGTGTTTGGTTGCCTGTGTTATCGCTAGTCTCATGTTAAGTCGTTACTACATTTTTTTTTTAATTAACTGCCAATGTTGGGTGATTTCATGGAGATTTTCTGTGTTAAATTTTGAAGGTTTTGGGCCTTTTTTGGTCATAAAAGCTGTCGGTCATTAACGTATCTTTTGGCTTTTTTTTTGGATGGATTGTGGCAAAGAAGGGTTATATTGTTCTTTATTCTTAAACTAGTTGTGCTAAGCGAAAAAATTTAAAGTTCTCGTTGTAATCACTAACCTTTTGTAAATTCCTGTGGATGTCACTTTTGTGTCCTATGTCGGTTAATATGCTTAATAGTTTTGGATTCGTCAACATGTACAAAAGCATGAAGCATTGTAAATGTTTTGATCGCATTCGTATGTCTATTGGTTAGCTTTCTTGAATCATGTAATAGTTATATATTGGCTTTATATCTGGAATTTGTGTAGGATTTCATTACTGAAATGGTAAGTAATATGCTTGTAGAGTTGAATTTTTGTTAAGGTGGCATTTGGTTTGTAGGATGAGGACTACTGTATTTCCAGTATTTGATTGGGAAATAAGATTCCAAATCTCATTTTGAGAGAATTCAGATCTCCCAAATGGGAGATCTGGAAGACTGTTTAGCATTTGGAATTTGAAATCCTATTCACTAGGAATTAAGAGAAGATTTCTAAGGCTATACATAAAATAACAGATTATTATAAAGAATGTATAGTAAACATAAGAAAATTCGGGGATAAAGTATTAAAAAATAATATATAAATAATATGTACTAAAATCCATATCAATTATACTGATATTCCAAATATGTCAAAGCAATTTGGTGATTCTAATTTAGGTTCTGGTGGATGTTCGATATTATTCAGATTTCCATTCCAATAATGAATCAGATACCATATAAAAGTAGCAATTACTGCAATATAGGGCATGTCATATTATTCAGATTTCCATTCCAATAATGAATCAGATACCATTTAAAAGTGTCGGTTACTGCAATATAAGGCATGCCTTTTCTGATGCCATTCAACAAAATTCTTTGAATTGAAGGTGCTGATATTAATTATTGTCCAATCACAAAGTCCAATATACATTGTTGATCTCTTAAATATTATGGACACATCACCACATTAAGCAGGTAAAGAATGTAGATATTATAGAGTGTACTGTGTGCTTTAAAAATGTTGTGGCAATTCTCTACCGGAACTATGAATTTTTTATTGTTTCAGGTGCGGAAAGTTGATATGCTTGAAGGTGTGCAAATTTTTCGGTCTGAGAAGGTCAAGGATGAGCTTGTCCTTGATGGGAATGACGTGGAACTTGTCTCTCGCTCTGCTGCCTTGATCAACCAGGTCAGCTGTTTCATTACTTTAGGTCAACAAACAAGGGATATATATATATATATATATATATATATATATATATATATATATATATATATATATATATTGTTCAATCTTCTTGTAGTTAAGCAAGCAACAGCTCTTTTTTTCTGAGACATTTTATTTTTATGTTGAACAGAAATGCCACGTAAAGAACAAGGATATAAGAAAGTTCTTGGATGGTATTTATGTCAGTGAGAAGGGAACAGTTAATGAGGAAGCGTAGTCATCTATTAAGATGGTGTGAGGGGTAGCTGAGCTTCTGGATGGAATCAAGTTTTAGTTTATTTTTTTAATCTCATTTAATGTGATTTGCCTTTGGCATCATATAATCATCCGATTAGTCTTCAAGTTCAAGATAATTAGCTGTGGAGACTTGTTCTTCCTTGGGACCATAACGAGATTGATGCTTCTTTCCGAATTGGCTTTCTTAGAATTATTGAGAGAACTAAGTTCATGTTTTGTTCAAAATTAGTTAGTGTTTGCATTTTAATTAATCTAGTTCTGGTAATTTTGTTATCATATCTGCATTTGCCTCTCTTTTGAGTTGTGCAACAAAGAAATCAAGCTTATCATTCTTGAATGGTCTTTTCTGGTATTATTTCATATTCACCACTAGTTTTGTCAAATATGAAGAGATGTTAGTCTGCCGGTGGCATTCGTGATGGACATTGAATGGCACCCAATCCATTGATTGTTTCAGATGACATCATTCTTTACCTCTCTGTCTCTTGTCATGATCGCCTGTTTCTCTTATTTTTTCTCGGTTGTGATCGTCTATTCACTTCAACTCTACCACTATCTTCGTTGCATTTACTGCTCACCATGTTTTCCATCGTTGTTTGCCTCTTCCTCTATTTCTTCATTGTTATCAACCTCCATTGCACGTCAGACACCTTTTCATTTATCAGTATAATCCTTAGAATGATGCTCATTGCATCCCAAATTTTCACCACAAGTATGGGATTTAAGGTCTCAATAATAAATTTGGAAGGTAATCTATCTTTAGATGACTTTAAGGACTTTAATGTTCACTTTAGTATATTTTTAGGTTAATACTCTCAACGAGTATAATCATATTTATCCATCAATATAATTTTTGTGATACTTGCACATTACACGTCAAACCTTTAACATAGAGGGCAACAAAATCTCAATAATTTTTTTTTATAATATTATGAGTTTTTCAAATCTATTTGGCACGTTTTTGAGTTGATTTTATGCATGGTGTAATGACCATTTATCAATATAAGCTGTATATACTTACTCCATCGCTAGAGACATCAAATAAATTACTAGTTTAAATTTTTAGTGTTTATACATAAAAAAAATTACAAAATATGGTAATTATATAATTTTTTAATCAAAAAATATTCATTCAAATCATGAAATGATCGAGGATATTACGCTGATATCATGATCCTCATTATTCAACAGAATCATGATAATATGTTAACATAATCATAATATTGAGAGAACCATAATAATATTATCATGATTTTTTTTAATAATATTATTCTTATTATACTTCTGTAAATTGATGCTTCTATCGAATACACAAATTTTGGACTAAAGTAGAATAAACCATTAGTAAGGTAAAAGCTTGATAAGATTATACTGATTAGAAAGTAAGAAATGAGAGATACTTAACTTATCATTCTGAACTTTGTCATAAACAAAATAGAATCAATAGCTCTGTGCTTTATTTAAGAGTGATATAGGATTAGCACATATATATATATATTATCTTAATATTATCACCATATATAAAAAGGAGGATCACATATAATTCCTATAGCAATGATTTAATTCAATAAAGTTTAATAGTTGTAGTTTAATAGTTGTAAAAGCAACAGCTCAATATTCAGTTTACTTCAAAGATTTTACGATAGAGCATTGTTTCTTAGAACCTTACGCTAGATTGTGACAAAAAAAAATTTGACATAAGTACTAGTAGATATCCTATCATTTTTATTACCTGCCTAATTAACATTTAAAAATGCACGTAACAATAGAGGAGAATCTTTTTATTAAAATAATTGATAATCAATATTACCCTTTTAGGTACTCGAGAATGCATTTAATGATAATCCAATTGTTGAAAGTATGCTTGTGTGTATATCGGGATAATTTGTTCACCGCCATCAATTTGATGATACTAAGTGACGCCATTAAGATTAGTACTATCAAATAAGATTAGAGGAATACTTGTAGAGATTGGCATAGTGATAAATATTGATTTCAAATATCTTAATGCTATCAAGAAGATCATGAAAATACTTCTGTTGAAAAAGAAATAGATCATTTATTATGTAGATTATTTGAACATAGAAAATAGCTAAGCGACGTAAGATCTTTGATAGAATAATTATTTCTAGATTATTAAATAAACTAATTAATTATTCTTAGTCTATTAATAGTAATAATTAAGTCATTCACATAAATTAGTAAAAATATAAGTACCCTTGTGAGAATAAATAAATAACAAATTATTAGATTGAGAATTATGAAATCCAATAGAGATTAGATTTGTTCAAAATTTATGATACCAAGCACGAAAGATTTACTTTGGACTTTAAAGAGTTTTGACAACTTATAGAAATGTTGAAGAAGATTATAATTAATAAAGTCTGAAAGTTATCTTATAAATACATCTTCAAAAATATGATTAGAGGAATTACATTATTCGTGTTTAACTATGGAAGTCCCCAACTTTTAGATAAGAAAATAATAAATTAGTGTTGACTTCACAATTGAATTAAAAGTGTCATGGTAGCCAAGGCCCATTAATGAAATCCTTTTATAATAAGTCTTGCTTTATACTTATTAATAGACTTATCAGGATTTTATTTGATATGAAAAACTCATTTATACCCTATAAGGTTTTGACTCAAATCAAATTAGACTAAGACTTATGTACTATTCCTTAATAAGTCATTATACTCTTCAAACATTATTGCTTACTTACCATTGGAGATTTTTTTTAGCTTGTTGACGGTAGAAGGCTCAAAAATAATTTTTTATGATTATTTTATAAAAAATCTATTTATTTGGTTTGAAGATTGTATTTTTGGATCTACAACTATTGGATAAATTGGCATATAGTCAATGATATCCGTAAGATGTGTTGGACAAAAAGAATTTAAAATAAAGTTATTGAAATCATGCCTTGTGAATTCTATGTATAACATTCTCAAAAAACAATTGGATTAACAAAGTAACTTATAGTTGATCATGCACCATTGAGAAAAAACTTGAGCTAGGTAGCAAATGGAACCAAAATTAGTAGGTTCTAAATGGATAAAGTATTTGGATTAATGAGTGGGGTTGATGTTTCAATTTATATGATAATGATAATATAAGGTGGCTCATAAATTTGGGAAACCCAAGGTAAGAAAGAGTTAAGTGATTTATAAGGAAAGATAAATTTTATAACATCAACATGACAAAAAATAATAACTCTTTTGGTTGATGGATCAAAATATTTATAACACTTTGATTAGTAGAATATGTAAAAAAACTAAAATCATGCTTTAAATTTGTTTTGAGTGTAAGGTTTTAACTATTGATAGCATAGACACCTAAAATCTTATAATTTATTATAGTTATTAGTGGATCGGAATAATTTTTAAATAGTGAAATCATATTAAAAATTATAGTGGGTATCGATTAATAAGATAATATTAACATAAATGTATGAGACTAAAATTGAAAAGATAAGAAATGTGAGATTAATTTGGATGATACAACATTCATGACTATGTGGAGGGAAGAGAAAATAAATTTTTTTATTAGTTTCAAGAAAGACACTCAGCTTTTGAAATTCACCATCATTGTCAAATAAAATAAAATAATAGATTATTAAAGAAACTTTTTAACAATAAGCTCAAACTTACAAAACATGAATACTTCAATTTTTACTTCATGAGAAATAACCATATATACTTTGTGAAATGATTAGTAAAAATAAGATAATAGTTAAACCCATCATAAGTTTGTATTAATGTGAAATCCCAAATATTAGAATATATAAGTTTAAAAGATAAATTACTTGTGAGAGAGGAGGTAGAAAATAGAAGCTTATGCATTTTATTATATTTACATAAATTATATAAAAATAGATAATAAGAGGATGATGATAAAGGCAAATTATAAGAATGAATAATCTGATTTAAAACGTTAAAGGAAGAATACCATGAGCAATTGTACTTATTTTTAAAATAAAATCTTGATGATGGTCAAAGCAAAAATAAATTTGGATGAAGATGCTGCAACATTTGGTCATTGATAAGATCTGTCTGAAGAGGGTAAAATTTCAATAGAAATATTATTAGAAAAATATATTTTAGATATAGATATTAAGTTTTTTTTATTATTAGAAAAATATATTATTAGAAACATAAAGCATATCAAATAGTAAAAATAATTTAAAGGAAGCCGGAAGGTTTGTAGAACTAAGATAAGTTATTCTGAAACTTCTACCATCACCTATACCATCTAAATCATCGTAATTTTAGTGAAGAAACATATTATTCAAGTCAAACATAACATGATAAGAAGTCTCGAAACCAATAATATAATTTGATGAAGATTAAAAAGATTAAGTAGTTAAATGAGCATAGTAATAAAACTAAGTTCTACAATAGGATACGTAGATGCAACGTGATCTTACGTGTCATATATTTGATAAGTGACTTTGCTATTGAATTATGTTAGAAAAATGCTCATATATTTTTTTCATTTATGTTGATCCCAAGCCTAATTAATGGCAATCACTAATTAGTATCCGACTTAAAACGGATCGGATAAATACGACTACAGAAGAAACCCGACCCACTTCCATCAACGGGTGACAACAATGGAAGGGTACTGCTCCTCGAGCAAGCTGTCTCAGGGAGTGATGGACGGTTCAGATCACTACATCATTGGGATCACTTCCTTACCGTTTCGCTTGCTTGCGTCATCCATGATCCATCTCTATTACTGCGTTCCCCGTCCATCCGTCACTCTCGAACCCTAAAACCGCGAAAGGGGAAGCAATCACAACTCGGTTGAGGTCATTGATCTGTTAGATCGGTGCTTTAGTTAACTTCGTGCTATTTCCTTGCTTATGCTTTGATTTGGATGTAAGCTTTTATGCGGTGATCTTCTATTTGCTGTCCGTGATTTGGATTCGTTTTCTCTTTGAGAAGAATTTAAGAAACTGGATGATGGACCCTTAGTTTGGTTGTGTTTTGATCCGTGAAAGTAACTACCAGAGACTACTAAAGTTGTTGAGGAGGATTATCTTCTCGATTAATTTTCGATGATATCGCCTTGTTCTCGATGTATTCCTCCGATGAATTTGCTGTGTTTGGCACTTGTTGATGTAGCTTAGTGCTCCGTCCTGCAATAGAGTTTGTATTGGGGCAAAACAAATAGAACTGGGAGAGAAGGAACATCACTTGGCAGGTTGTTGAGTGGAAGAGTGACTATCATCTCACTTGCTTGAATAGGGTTCCATGGACATTGTTGATTGGAACAATAACTATCATCTAATGTAGCAAGGTTGAAGAGGTTCTGGTGAAACAAGTGAATTTTGTACGTGATTAGGTGCTTTTCCATTCAGCTTTAGCTGATCCAATTGGCAGTCCTACTTGAGGCAGCCTCGGACAAATCTTTTCAAACAAAGTTAGGTTTGCTTGGTTGGGGTTCTTCATTCTGCAAATCCATACTAATTCTGACATGTTAAGGGGATATTGAAATCTAGTTCTATAACACATACTTTGGTTTGTATTTGAATTTGGGCTGAACTTAATACTATTTTCAACCAAAAAGAATCATGTACTCCTCTCCCTGTAGATTATGATTATTGTAAACTTTCATTCTCGTTTGAAACTGTTCTTATTTATACTATGTCCTTTTTGACTGCTAATGATGTCCATGGTTTTTGTTGATTGAACCGTAGACAGTTCTATCATGCAGTTTGATAATGTGGCAAATGCCCTTTCTTGCTGTCTGAGAGGAAAAAGAATTCCATGATTATTTATCTTTTCTTCCCTTATTTGACTAACCTTTTTCCTGTGCCTATTGAATTGACTTTTTCTACTTTTTTTGAGATTATGAATTCCATGCTAGACATCAAGATTGACTTTTCATACAGTTAAGCACGTGTGCAGACCATTGTCAATTCATTACTTCCTGAATTGATACATATTGACAAGGGTGGTTCAGTAAATGAGTTCTCTTTTTCCTTTGAAGCTGATTATATTTTTCTGATTTCGCACAGCCATGAAGGTGCGGTCATCAGTAAAGAAGCTATGTGAGTTTTGTAGGACAGTTAAACGTCGGGGGAGAGTTTATGTGTTATGTACTGCCAATCCCAAGCATAAACAGAGGCAAGGCATATCAACATTTGCTTATGAGGGTCCGGTCCCTTCTGCGTAAGTGTTCTGGTCATATACCTTCTATTTCTTTCTTTTGGTGCTTGTGTCCTCTATATATTCCGACATAATTGCTTTGCTTTCAGTTTCATGGTTCCTTAGTTTTTTCTTCCCTTCTGCTCTATGGTTCTTGAAACTTTCTGTCTAATCAAGAAGACACGGTATCAAAGTTTTAAACATGGTTAGACAGTAGAATAGCTCTTTTAGATCTTGCAATGTTAGTGAGATGTTGTTCATGAGTGTCATTTCTTAAGCTTGCTTAAAGTTGTAAAATTCACTTTTTAGAATGGCACTGGACCAAGTGAATCCATTATAAGTCTATTCTTGTCTATAGAACAATGATTGTTTCCAGTGCCACTATGTCATAATCTGCCGACTCCAATGAACAATCATTATTGTACTGAAGTGGTAGTACTAAAGTAAACCATGGAAATCAGAAAAACTTAGGATGCACTCGGCCGTTGAAGAATATGAAATCTTAGCCTGGTGTTCAAGCATTTGCATCTCTGACTTGGGAATATTGGCAGCTATCATATTGTAAACCTTAGGATGGAAACTTTGTGGTTCCAGTTTGAATATAAAGCTGTTTTAGGAGAAAAGCTTGCATGGATGACATGGGGCAGAAGCTGTGCAATCTGTGACAATAGATGTTAAACTTGTTTGGTTTTGCTGCTTCAGCAATAATGGGGTATGCACTAAGGATACTAAAGCTTCTTTATTCTGGAGGCTACAAGCGGCTGCTTCATGTTTCTATCTCAGTAGTAATCAGAATGTGAGTAGGAAATCTTCTCTTTCATCTTGCTTTAATAAGCTTTAGTTAGATGAGGTCTTCCTATCGGCGTGCAACGCAACAAATGGGTTTGTCACGTGCAGTATCAGATAGTTTAGCATGTTTGTGGTTTGACAGCCAATAATCCACATATGTGGTTACAGTAAATAAAGAAAAAGGAAGCAATAAAAGTGGTTCCACTTGTTGTATGTGCTGCTTGGGTTTCTTTATTACAGCAGCAGCAGTGCAGCTCATAACATTTCAATTTGTACTTACCTACTGCCTGTGCTTCAACATTTCAATGTGGCTTATATTACATAAAATCACATGAGATTTCTTTTTCTTTTACCCTTGTAGTCAGTGTATGTTCCTTGATGCTTTATGGTGTGTGCGCATTGCAGATCCTCCGAAGTGGCTAAGAAGCAAGAGCAAGAGCCTTCAGTGACTAATTTCTGGCCTCTAGGACTGGCATCTCTTCTTCAGAAACAGGAGAAACAAGTTTAAACATATCTCGAGTCCATTGGTCTGGGAATAAGTTAGAAACATGTCAAGGACATTGATTTGGATGTTACATGACTTGTGAGAGCTGCACCACTGTTGCAGATCTGATTGCGTTTTTAGATGCTTTTATCATCTGCACAAATTTTCATCCAACTATATAAACTCAAAGGTTGACTAGCTAATGCTACCTCAGTTCATTTTTCTACATCCTTGCAGTGAATTTTATGAGGTGGGATTCGAGGACCTTAGTATTGATTTCTTTCTTGAGGTATAACTGCCCTTGATTCCTCAGCATTGGATTTTTCATTATTCCTTCCTGAATAGGAAGGCCAGCGGGGTGCGGATGGCAATTTCTGTTGAAAACTCAGGTTCTTATTCTCTCCAAGTTAAATTCATTTCTATTTTAAAAAATAAATTATTATCAAAATTAATTAATAATATTAAATTTTGATAATAATAATAATAATAATAATAATAAAGTTTATATATCATAATAATATTTAAACATAAATATTTTATAATTATTATTTATAAAATTTTAATATTATTAATTAATTTTAATAATAATTTATGTTAAAATAAAATAAATAAATTAATTAGAAGAATATAGATAACGACTCTTTGGATTCTCCATCGTCGTCCCCATCCCCGTTTCGTCTAAAAACAAGTATTTGACATATAGGGAAGATGGGTAATGCATTGAAACAATCTCATAAAACTAAAGGATTTTTCATTTAATTTATCTCTTATAAATAATTCCAATAATACCAATAAAAAAATCAGCATGCCGTAAGCGGTATAATAAGCATAATTTTGCAAGCAACAAAATGAAGAATGTCCTTAGGTTTCCTTCCATACCACTAGAAGTCGTGTGATAATATTACGTGCTTATAGATCATTTATCAAATAGACGACAAAAAAGCGTGATCACTTACCATTAAAAGATATGGATCCCCAACTGTCATCCATAACATGTATATGTCAATATTGACAATGATGAAATTACCATCCCAATTATATACATCAATGTGTTCAGTCAGTGTGGACACAACAATGGATCTAAAATACTGGATTTACCTACTACAGCACTCAGATAAAATAAGCAACTCAATTGCACAGGATGCTAAATACATGGATCTACAAAAGTATTGTTTTATTCCCACTTAGGTTTAGTAAAAGAAGCCATGATTTCTTGCAACAAGCAATATGTAGGGCTATCTGTTTAGCAAACTGTGACAAGTATCAACAAAGAAATTGCCTCCTGTTCAGTAAAGCAATAAAAAAGTTGGCTAGATGCAGACTGGATACCTTGTGCAATTAAGTGCTCTCCCTCCTGGCATCAATATGCTTTACTAGGTAGATGATTAGAAGCATCATGCAGGCACCATAAAGAAGTGTTAAACAAATATACATCGCAAAATGACATTATAAGGGTTGTCCTCAACACCTTGTGCAATTAAATGTCTGCCCTACTAGTGTTGATATCCTTTATTAGGTATATGATTAGATGTATCATGCATACATCACAATGAAATGTTAAACTAGAACATACCAAAGGAATGGCAGATACTGAGGGCAACCAGTACACAGGGATCCTGTCAATGCAAGATTTGGGCAAGGTCATATCCCTGTAAGGATAATGGTTGTTTTCATTACTCAAACCATGAACATCTATATTACTGCAAGGAGCAACTTTACCTTGACACCAAAAATACCCTCAAATGACAACTAATGAGGAAAACAAAAAAAGAAAACAAAGAACTGAAGCAAAAGTCAAACCTGCCAATGCAAGATTTGCACAAGGTCAAATCCCTGTAAGCATAGTAGTTGTTTTCGTAACTCAAACTGTGATCAACTTTACCTTGACACCAAGAATCGCCCTCAAATGACAAATAATGAGGTAAACAAGAAAAAGAACAAATGTGAAATAGTGCAAATCCTGATAATGAATGCTGAAACATATGGATGTACTTTAGCTCTGATGAAAACTATGAATCCACAATTACAAAAACTACCTGAAACAGTGTAAGTCTACTCTTGATAAGGAATGCTGAAAACATATGGATTCACTTTAGCTCTGAGGAAAACTATGAATCCACAATTACACAGAATACCTCAAACAGCAGGGTTCTTATGATGTGTCATGTAATTTCCATTCTTTTACATCCCAAGGATCGGATTAATCTTCATCAGAACCAAGACATCATCTTGGTATCAAATCCTTCCTGGATAAAACTATATGCATAATCCCTATTCATATTTAACATTTTCAGTAAAGGGGAACAACGAGTTAGATAATCCCAGCAAACACAAAAAGGTTGTTTGAATTTTTTTTTTTCTCACATGGAGATCCCTCGTCCAATTAATGAGAAGAATTGCATAAACACTTTAAGGTCAGAAGAAACAAATAATATATGATGTCAAAATGTCCAGAAGATTACAGCTAACTACAATCGATACAAGAATGGTATCAAATGCTCTCTGACACAACGAATTGACAAGTGAATGAAAATAATGGGACATTACAAGAGGCGAAACAGACAAGAAGAAATACCGGCGACCCTTCATCCAAGAAGGCAAGCTCAAAGGAAGCCACAGAGGACGGCGAAGCCGAGGACAATGAGCCAGACGATATGGAGGAGGAGGAAGGCCTGGCCGGAGACGAGGCCGCTCCCGCCGTTGCCGACCTGGCAGGGCCCCCTCTTCGCGACGCGGACGCTGGCGCACGTCGCCTCCGGGCACCCGCACCAGTACGTGACGCCGTTCACGCCGCAGACGGGGTCCGGCCGGAAGCAATTGATGCGGCAAGAGGGGGCTAGCCCGTCGGATCTTCCGCCGCAGAGATCGACGGCGTCAGCGGCGGCGTCAAAGTCCTCGGAACTAGCGGCGGCGACGAGGAGACAAAGGAGGGATAGGGCGAGGAGAACGACCGGGGACACGGAGGAGAGCCGGCGGGAGGTCGCCATGGCTCGCCAAAGACCGCAGGACGAATCCCTAACCCTAATTATCAACGCCGCGTCGCGTCTTTCGGGGAAAGAAACGCGAACGAGAAGGTGAAGGAGGCCTTCTTTTTAGTTGCCACGTTCGTTGGGTCCGCTTTTAGCTTGGGTTGGTGAGCGATAGGGGAACAGGTCGTGAACGCCAACTAAAGAAATAAACAACAATAATAAAAAATAGATTTGATTTTTTTTAAAACAAGGAAAATTTGGAAGTAACCTATTTTTATCTTTTAAAGTTTAGATTAATCATTAATTATAGTAGAAAACTTAGATTAATCATTAATATTAATTAATTTAAACTAAGTTTTAAAAATGTAATTTAATACACTAAAATTTAGAAGGATAAATATGAAAATCACAGGAATATGTGCAATTTTGCATAATCATAATGACAATGACAGAGATAATGAATTATTTGACCAAGTCCTACTACAATGTCCATATATATATATATATATATATGATGTGATCTCATACACAGAACGTGGTATATTATTTCCTTCTCAGATAAAGACCCTAAACATTTCACCGTAGGACCAAAAAAATCATAGAAAACAGAACCATAAAAAGAACAAAGTTTTGGAAATAATACTTAGATAGGCTCTCGTCAGTATGAAAATAAATAACAGCATAATAAACACTGTGCTCACAATTGGTCATCACAAGCTAAAAACGTTACATTAGGATTCACATGAATTATGGACTTAGGGTGTTGAGGTTGAAACATGTTTATCTAATGACAAGATAATGACGTTGTTCACTCACAACATTGAGCACAGCTTATATCCTTTTCGCTGTGGCATGAAACATACTTCATATCCCCCTCCTATTTGATGTACTTTGTGTCTGCTTTTTTCTCCTTGCCTAGAGTCATTCAGTGTGTGAGATGGTGGTGCGGAGCTTGAGGATCTTCCGGCAGAATAGAGCGGTGAAACTTCTTTTGCAGAATCAACATGAGTACATGAAAGCTTGAGCATCTTCCTACCCATCATCCATTTCAGCATGATTTTCATATGGGTTTTACTGTTCGATCCATTGATGCTAGATTCCTGGACAAATGAATGTTCTATCAACCGTAATAGTGATAATTAAATCAGATTTGTCACAACATGTAGTACACAATGGTATAACAGAAATTTCCTTTCTTGCAGCCAAAAAAATAAAAAAGAAAAAAAATTTCATGGTTTTAAACGTCAAAGCTGTTCCAAGTAAAATCAACAAATTTGAGCAAACAGCACCATACCTCCACATCACATTGCCATAGGTTTCTTGATGTTAAAAAATGCTGTAAAATTTGATCAAATTAGTTAATCACAAAGCAAAGCATAGGATATCAACATGAAACAGAGTCCATATGCACAATCTTGTGTCAATGTAGACACACAACAACAACAACAACAAAGTCATAAAATTTGAACTATTTGGAGTCAATTAATACATGAGGATAAAAAATATTAATTTTTCTTAACATTATCTATATTTTTTTCTTTTGAATATACTACTTGGCACAGTCCAACCAAGCCAAAGAAATGATGACTAGCCTTCGTAATAATGAACTTCAGCATTGGAACATGATATATCTCAATCCAAATGGTGTCATGGTTTTAAAGATTCATTAAAAGTCTGAATTAGACTTTAATGTTTTTTTTCTTTTAATGCCAAATGATGCATCCAAAGCACATGGACTCATGTTTTTAGTTTAATTTAGACTAGACTAGACTTTCAATTTTTTTCATCATAATTAGAAGTTTATATAGAATATATCTTATGAGATCTAATATTTGTTCACTTAAAAATATAAGACAAGAAAAATTGAACAAGACATTAAATAGTAGTTTTAGATGATAAGGGAGAATCTTTATCATATCAATAGTAGTTGTGCTTTTAATCAATAATAAAGCAAAAAAATGCATGAAACTAAAAAAATAATAGAATGAAATAATGATACTACATAGTCTACTAACCATCGACCCCTTCTTTCTCTTCATAGTTTGATACTCATAGTTATTATCTTAGATTGACAGTGGATATTGTGTATCAAATTAAATCACAGGTTTGAACTGCCACATCACTCAATTTTACATCATCAAAGATATATACATACATACATACATAAATATAAATATAAATAAATAAATATATATATATATATATATATATATATATACACATATAATGTTCATTAACTACAATGATTTCATATAATCACATTGAACAACAAGAAAAGGTTGATGCAGAAAAGAAGAAAACAACATCATCTAGGTTGAATTAAATATTTAAATAAGTTACTGAAGATCCAAACATTTAATTCAGAAATTTACATGTTAGAAAATGATATAACAGAAAGACTCTTTCACGATAAGAAACACCAAAATAGATCTTAGAGAATTTGATAAAGGAAGTTATCACCACAAAGTAGGGTAGAAGAAGTGTGGAGTCAATGAATGTTTGGGGCGTTATCATGAGGAAAGAAATCACTTTGAAATTTAAAGAAGTTTATTTGCACAAAGAAGCACGGGAAGAGGAAAATCACATTCAATATTATGGTTGGTTGGCACGGCAACAAAAAGTTGATGACTAGGATATTTATTTTGTAAAATCAAAATCTTGAAATTGCGAGAACTAGTATCATGGAGTAATGACAACAAAAGAGTTATCCTAATTTTGATTTTACAGGTGACTATTTGCGATTCTAATATCTTAGAAGAATACTCTGGTTATTACTTGGCTGCAATTTGATGACTTATTATTTAAGCATAATAAATCTCTCATGGACCAAGAAAAAATACACTAGTAATATGGCATTAATGCTCAAACCATGGAAGAAAAAGCAACTGCTTATAAACTTTAAGAATGCTTTCCTAGGATAGGAGAAGGTTGTTCATAAATGCTTTCCTGTTGTTCATAAACGCAAGGGCTTCTATGGCAAAGGGAATAGAACCACAAGTCATGTCCAAAATTTCATCTTTCGTACTGGCCTCTATTTCGATTTTCATGGACAGCATTTTACTTGGTGTAACAACCGTTATGGGTCTTCTCGCATCTCTGCTAGGCTTGATAGAGAGTTAAGAAACCAGTCCTGGTTCAACCTTTTTATCACACTGCAGTCCAGCACCTTGCTAGGTGACGTCTAACCACGCTCCCCTCCTCATACAGGCCTTCAGACTCACTAGGACCTTCAGGAAACAGAAAAACCACATCAACATCCTCAAACTTGACAATGACGACCTGATCCAGGAGAACAAGGCTATCCTAGCCCAATTCTCAGATTGGTATACCCGTCTCTGGTCTCGTTCTAGCAATCAGTCTCTTGAGGATTAGAACCTTCTTCCCTCACTTTGCACCCTCGTGAACTCTGACCATAATCAGCTCTGTGCCCCCTTCATTCTCGATAAATCCACACTGCCTTGAAGCAAACGGGGAAGGGTAAGAGCCCCAGCCTTGATGACTTCAATGTGGAGTTCTATCTCACTTACTGGGACACCCTGAAAATTCTCATCCTTAAAGTTTTCAACTCCTTCCAGAATGCTCCCTTTCTCCCTCACAGATAGTGTAGGACCTTCCTTGTTCTCATCCCCAATAAAGATAACCCTGACATTGTCATCTATAAGTTTCTGTCCAAGAAACTTACCAACAGATTCCGCAATCACTTTAATCACCTTGTCCAACAGGAACAATCTACCTTTGAAGCACGGTGATCCATCCGCGGCAACATCCTTATAGCCAACGAGCTGGTCCATTCCATAGTCATCTAAAGGAAGCTACTCTCTTGTTATCCTAAAGCTTGACCTAGAAAAAGCATTTGACAATATCTCTTGGATTGCCATTAGCAAGACCTTTTACCTTGTGAACTTGCCTAGTACCTTCATAAGCTGGATCACGAAATGCTTGGTTTCCCCCTCTTTCACCTATTTGGTAAATGGAAACCCTTTGAACTAGTTCAGAGGACATCGAGGCATTCAGCAAGGGGATCCCATATCCCCTTACCTTTATATCCTTGTCCAACAACTGCTCGCCTCCATCCTCACTAGTCTCGTCAACAACAACAAGCTTACCCCCTTCAATATTAAGGGGATCAAGGACTCTCACCTCAGGTTCGCTGATGATGTCAATATCTCCTTTCAAGCAAACCCAAAATCCTACCGTAGCGTCCTTTTGACCTTGGATTTCTTTGCCAACCTCACTAGCCTTAAGGCCAACTTGGACAAATCCAATATTTTCTTCCCTAGAAATTGTCCCCCGCCCATCAAGCATAAAATATGTAGCATCCTTGGCATTAAAAAAGGCACTTGGCCTATGCCTTACTTGGGCTCCTTCATCTCTCACAATAGAATCTCGATTTCCCTCCAAAGTAGAATGGTGGACAAGACCCTTGCAAAGGTGAAGGGCTGGTATATTGGTTTCCTTAGCCAAGCTGGGAAGGCTGTATTCATCAACTCCATCATTAACTCCACTCCAACCCATACCCTTATGACCTCTTGGATCAGTGACAAAGTTGTCTCTCATATGAACAGAATATCCAAAGATTTCTTTTGAAATGACTCCCCAAACCATTCCAAATGTAAACTCATCTCCTGAGACCAGATCACCAGCCCTAAGCCCAATGGAGGACTACGTTTACGGGACCTCAACTTGGTCAAAAAAAAAAAAATCAATTATAGACGTATCCTCCCTCTTCTCAACCGTGAAAACAAACTTTAGGTAAACATCCTCCTCACTAAATATGGTAACCCCAACCCCTGGGTCGACCATAGACCATTAAGGATGTTCCATGTTGAAAGGAGTTTGTCTTGCCTCACTAATCTGATTAGAGAATGTCTCCAAATTGTCATTGACAATGGTGCAAGTATCAAGGTTCGGACTGATCCTGGGTCAGCAACATATCATTCAGTAGATGCCTATTTTTTTTAGCATAAATTTTGTTGAGAACATGAATACTGTTGCTGATCTTATTTCGGATGGATCTTGGAATTTAACTAAGCTGCAAGAGCTCTTTCACCCTCTCCTCATCATTCATATGCTTCATGTGCCCTCCTCCCCCTATAACGATGCTTGAGTTTGAAAACTGTCCCCACAAGGTTCCCTAACAGCCAGCAATGCTTATAGATTTCTCAAAGACAGCAAATAGTATACTGGCGATACATAGAGTGGTTGAAACATTGCATGACAACTTGTGGTAGTCCCAAAAGTCAAAATCTTTACTTGGAAGCTTCTTTGAAACCGACCACCCACTTCAGACTACTTCTCTACTTTTGTAGTTTCGGTTGTTTAATATAGCTACTTATCTTTTAGAGAGAGAGAGAGAACTAGTAAATATTAACAAAGGGGTGGAAGACGATAAAAATTTGGTCAGACATTTCATCAAACACCTAAAAGGCAACACATTCATCTTGTTAGCAGCAAAAGAACAACACACTATGTAGCCTAAGAAAAATAAAGAAAAAAGCAGAATCCATACTTAAGCGCCATTTCACATTCTTCTTGGAAGTAAATAAAACAAATATGCAAGTATAACAGAAAGATCCAAGCTTTGTCACCTTGGCGTGGTTCCAAGTGTTGGAGACGGAGAGGGGGCCATGGTCCTTGACGATCTGGTAGAGGCTGTGAGAGATTGCGGTGGCTTCCTCCCTCGGCACCTTCGGATTTATACGGCGGGTGTCAGACCTATGCTTCCTCGAGAAGCACCGCACCAACGCTCTACCGGCGACTGCAGCAGCTCCGCCGTGAAGAACAGCACGCCCAACCCTCCTTTAGCTCGTCCACGCTCGTGTCAGCGTGTCAACGCGACGGAAGCACGCAGCAATGACACGGCCAATTGGCCCATAGTCGTATATGGGCCTTTGGTGGGCGACTATTGCATTACGTACGGAACAGTCTCAACCCATAACGGATGAGAAGATAGAAGCAATAGTTACCGCAATATCTTGTCGTTATTTAGCTTACAACAGTCAACAGCTTTTTTTTTAATCAACATGGGATCATCAACTATCAAGAAACTGGTCACTTATAAGAGTTCGATGAGTATATTATTATCAATTTATATTTTGATCAATAGTTTAGATTCAACGAAGTTAATAGATCAATTAGTCCGTCAAATAGTCACAAGATTTGAGTTTGTAGCAGTTCCATCCTAGTATTTATATATAATTGGTGATTGGTTAACGGTGTGGTATGTGCTTTGGTGATAGTGACAAGAAAGCATCCAACCTTATAAGCACAACTAAGCTTGCAGAACTTCATCTACTGCTTGTACGATGAAGTCTTTCTCTTCAATACTCTGCCTCTTTTCATTTGAACCTTTATTAAAGAACAGCAGGTGATCAGATCAGCATTTCTGGCTATCTTCAATACTCTCTCTGCAAGTCTTCGAGCACACTAACTCCCCATATTAATGCTTTGGTGACTTGGTAGATAGCCAGAAATCTACTCCCACCCGATGGCTTTAAATGCCATGTTCCAGTGTTATTGCAGCGAACCCAAAGTCTACACACAAACACTGGTTGGTTCCGCTGTTTGCACTACCCTAAAGAAGGACAATAAATGAAGTGCAGTGCTGCTGCTACAAGAGTCACATGCTACATTTACTGTGCTGGGGCACCAGTATCCTAATGGCTCAGTAGCTGGAGTGCAGCTATCTACTAAGTCTAAGTGACCATACTTAGTACTTTGCTGGCGTATCAATCTCCAATCCCCTCTCCACCAAATCTATTGTCAAGATTATATGGTGCCCAGCTCAGCCATCCTTGACCATTCTTCATCCCACCACCCAACATCAGATTTACTACACTTGCAGCATTTATGTCAATGAAATGAATGCTCATCCCACTGCTGCATCCCAATACTCGTCACTTGACTTCCAACTTTGAATAACCATTTTCTGTGTCGCTTCTGCTTCTGTTGTCAATAAAATAAGTATTCCATCACTGTGGGCGGTAAGAATTCGGTTTATCTCGTTACCGTGCACTCCACTGGAAGCCTGTTTGGGTTGGGGAAAGGAAGTCAAAGCTGGAGAAAGAGGAGGAGAAATGGAAGCATAGTTTGTCATAAACATGTTGAATGATTCAGAAAATGTTTGCAAGAATAATCACACAACACATGTCGTGTCATTTATCAGTGTTTCGTTGCTGCTTCTATTACAGATATATGATAGCAAGTCATGATGACCTTCCTTTTCCTCTTGGCATGAATCTGGTGCAACACAAGTAAGCTGGACTGCCGAATCATTTCTTGGAGTATACGCATTGCTATTGAAGGGAAAAATTTTCTTGTCTAGTCTACTTGTTCTACCAAAGCTTTAAGCACAGCTGCATCCAGTTCTCGGACTATTTCTCTTCATCTGTGGAGATTGTGATGTCCATCGTGTACGTGAAAATGTCTTATTTTGACTTGTGGGTTTCTTCAAGTTTGTAACAATTTTCTGCTTCACAAATTATATGTCTAGAGAGAGAGAGAGAGAGAGAGAGAGAGAGAGAGAGAGTATGATAACTTACCCTAAAGAGGTTATGATTTCAGAAATAAACAAGCTTATGGTGTTAACAACACATGCTTCCTCAAAGCATTAAGGAGACATAAAAGTTCACTTTATGATGACCCTACATCTAACTCTATAAAACAGGCAAAGATAATTGAATTACATAATTATGTGTATGTTATTCTTTATGTTTGTACTTTTAATTCTTTTGGTATCAAGATGTTCTCTTCCATGTTGTCAAATTCAATTGGTTCCATCAAACCACTGATCAAGTACAACGAGTGGGTAGACTAAGAAAGAGATTGTTGTCATACCTCTTTAATGACATTGTGACCGATATATATATATCCCATGAACACTTTCTCCTCTTAGCTAAAAGAACTTACATAATCATTATCAAATTGGTGTTTAGTTGAAAGCTATATTCTTCCCCATTCCATTTGCATGAATGGCATAAGAAGTTAAGGTGTGTGAGCCACACACCCATTTCTCGAGCAGGCTAATGAAACAAAAGGAAAGCATTTTGATTTTGGATTTTTTTTTACGATGTTGTCGAGGTGGCATTTGTCTATTGGCTTTCAAGTTTGCACCGTGTGCGTCAGCCACACACACCTGAGCCGTCTCTATTCCAATTCGGGCCATTACGTCGCCAACCGGCCCACTGCGTCGCCTTCAATGCCGTCTCTTTTAAGTGGCGAGGCGCGCATCGCTGGCTTCACTTGCAGCTGCAGTCCGCTGCTATAAATAGCCTCTCCTGCGTGCTCGCCCGGTACCAACGAGTGCACCAGCTTCTAGTGGTAGCCTCAAGAAACAACGATGGGGAGGAGTGGGGTTGGCAGAGCGCCGCTTGCGCTGCTGCTCTGCTTCAGCTGTGTTGTTGCGAGTGCTTTTGGGAGGGAAGTGGGGGGCGAGAAGGGCAGGGAGAAGGTCTTGTGGCCGACCAAAGGTGGCGGCTTCTTCCCCGGTTTCGGGAGGGGTTTTGGCCTCGGCGGCGGATATGGTGGGGGTGGACTCGGTGGTGGGAGTGGGCTTGGCGGCGGAGGGGGCTTGGGCGGTGGCGGACTTGGTGGTGGTAATGGCCTTGGAGGTGGCAGCGGTCTTGGTGGTGGTGGTGGCCTTGGAGGTGGCAGCGGTCTTGGTGGTGGTGGTGGCCTTGGTGGCGGCGGCGGTCTTGGTCGGTGGTGGTGGCCTTGGAGGTGGCGGAGGTCTCGGTGGTGACCATGGTGGTGGTCTT